TCACCTTAAAGCACTTGTGGCAGGCTGCTGAGTTTGCATCTTTTGCTGTGAAGTACAGCCAGACTTTTGACCGCTTCACCTTGGGCATTTTTAATCTGTAGCTCTAAAAGAATGTACGTACCTGGGCTTGCCTACTATCCTTAGAAAGGTAAAATGATTGCCTAGAATCCAAAGTGTATGACATCTCAGGAAAAAAAAGCACCGAAATAAAGCACCCATCCCTATTCATAATTACTATGCATTCTTCAATCCACTGCATTACATAAAGACCATAAAGGACCCTATTGAACCCCGTAAAACTGCCCCCTGCTTCATACACCATAAAAAAGATGAATTATTCAAGCTTAAATGCATATATCACATTGCATTTATTGTTTGAAGTATCTGTGAGAAAGCGGGTTCTTACATTTCCAAACTCAAAGCACAGATTAAAGAATCATCATAACCGAAAATAAATAAAATTTTAAAAATAATTAAATTTGACAGGAAACCTTTAGAAGTGTAAGGTTTAAAATTCCTACAGTGCATGAAGGCACCTTGGTATGAGCGTGGTTGATACACATTCATCCCACCAGAAAATAGATGCGTTTGTGGGGTCCTAGCGCCTACATTTACTTTCTCATTCACTTTGGTATTAATGTTCAACAGGTGGAAACACATTTATTCTACTAATTTGTTTTTTTTTTTACATAACAAATAAAACAAAGACGATTCAGTAATTAGTGGCAACTCTTTTTAAGAAAATGTTTGCTATGTTAACCCACTATGCCGTATAAATATGGGATTATATCAAAAGATGTAATTTGATTTAGATCTCAACACAAATCAGCTATGAAGGAGATGCTGCAATTTTTTTTGTTTGCAAGCAAAACAATGAAATAATAATAAAGAATTTAAAAAAAAAACTGGTGCACCTAAAGGGCTGTGCAAAAGTTGTGAGCCATGCCTCATTTCTTTATATTTTGATTCCAATCAGCAAGACTCTCTCGTAATCTTTTAAAGGGGTCTTGAGGAAAGTTCTCCAGGTTCTCTGAAGGTCTTTCAGTTCTTATTTAGACATTGGCTGCTTTTCACTCATTTTGTACCTGACCATTTTCAGCTATCTGAGGACTTTTTGTTAACTTAGCAAAGAAGTAATTTTAGCCTTTAACCAATTTTAGGCACTTTGTTACTAGCAGCCTGTCTCAAAAGATGTAGTTTGTTCCCATTTTCTTAGCTCACTCTATGGAAAATGCCAAAGACATCACAATTTGTCCAGATGCATCTGGACCTTCAGTTGATCCATCTACTGTTCAGGGAAGCCTCATCGGAAATGATCTCAGTGGAAGGATGGCTGTCAATAAATAATTAAACACAAATTTGAATTTTTTGGCTCAAATTATTATCAGTATGTACAGAGGAGGTCAGAACTGAGTGTCTACAGCCATATGTAAAACATGTCGGAGATGTGGTGTTAGGGAATCCTGACGAAACTGATGGAATTCCAGAAAGTACCGTCAGATTTTTATCCACTATGTGAGGGACCAAGCAGCCAAGGCATAGAGGACACAGGCAAAAAATATCTTCAAAAGGGGGTTTCTTTATTTTAACCCTCAAAAAGTTTCAAAAATGACAAAATTCAAAAACATAATTAGCAGGCCCAAAAAAGAGGTCAACTAAATATAACTCTACGAAAAGCAATTTCCAGAAACTTAAACAAACAAAGTGGAAACAACTTAACTCACAAACTGACCTAATTACAAAGACACATGAGGGTGATCTCCTCCATACCTGCTTCATGCCCTGGAGGACGGGGCAGTGGCCCCCCACACCCTCTAGCACATAGGTGTCAAACTCTGGCCCGCGGGCCACATTTGGCCCGCAGCCAAATTACATTTGGCCCGCAAAGCCATACCAAATTACTATTAGAGCTGGCCTACTAGTATTATACAGCTAATATATATATTGTTTAGTATTAAGCTTTGCTTGTTCCATATTCAGTTTTTCAGCAAAACTTATTTGAGTCCATAAGAAAAGATTCATTCTTATATCTGGAGGAAGTTTTTTTTTTTCAATAAATATTAATGTTAGTGTCGATGACCTCGAACAAGTAATGGTGTTTAGACGAGGACCAGAAAATGGCCAACGTTTGTTTGTAAGTTTAATTAAACAGATGTTGGCCTTGGATGCAAACCAGCGCATAACACCGTCGGAGGTTCTCCGGCATCCCTTTTTCA